TATTTACATGGTTGTGTATTTAAACGATAACTAATATCATATGTTTAATTCCCTGATTTCATTTATACAAATTTCAGATATCAATCAAGGACCCAGTTACCTATAAGACTACTATGGTATTTTCAAATTAATTAATTATGGAACACGTTTGATGCTTTTTTGATAGTGTGATTTTCTCTGAGGTAGATGATTAATTTGCTCAGTCTTCATTATCGTTCTCCATAACATACAGAAGTAGGATTTGATGATAGTGTTCAAAATGAGAATGAAAACTGAGCAAATAAACTGTCCAAATGACCAAACACAAAACAACCGAAAACCACCTGTCTGTACTTTGATATATCATGTAAATTTAAGCCGACTCTAACACCGATGGACGAAGTAATTCATTGAGTTCCATCTTTATCTCGAATACTGGATATACTGTCATCACGGACCGACATATTTATAAACAAATGGCTAGTGTTAATTGCAGAAAGTGAATTTCAGTATGATCTAGGTAATTGATCTGTAGGTTATCGATTTGATGTTTTAAGGCTTTTACTTGGATTGAAAAGTAAAGTTCTTTGATAGTCGTATTGTCTAGCATATACAGTAAATTGTCTAGTCAAGCGAACGGAATTATCATGCGTAAAGTTTTTTGAAGATCTTTCGACGAAATTGACAGGTCATATGTGGCTATCGTATGATTGTTGGGTAATGAGGGTGAGTATAAAAATAATTCAATAATAGGAGAATGTATTCGAAGTGCATATTTTCACTTCAACTCACATGAAATAAATCGTTAAAAATAAACGTTTTCGAGGGATCATAAAAGGAGGTAAAGAGTCTTGCATTATACAAGAACAAGTTTATTTGACTATATATATAGACTAGTTGTTGACACATAAATTATTTCAATAGTTGAAATCATGAGTCAATTGAAGCTAGACCACCATGGAAAACCTGGAAGCACTAGACGGCTGTCCCGTCTTATTGTGGGACTCCTCAGCAGTGCGTATCCACAATCCTGCTACCCGCGAGATTCGAACCCAGGACCCATCAGTTTTGCGCGCGAGCGCTTAACCACTGAGTCAAACGGCATTCAACGGTGTTAATGTCTAACTTCAAGCAATCCACTGCGCACTGCTGAGGAGTTCCATACTAGGATGAAACGGCCATCCAGTGCTTCCAGGTTTTCCATGATAATCTAGCTTTAATTGACTTATGAATTCAACTGTAAAATCTCATTTCAGTTTGCGTAGTTGCATATAGTATTCATTGGTCAAGGTCTTTCTACGTTATATTTAGCTAACCAGCTATTTCTCATACAGAATTATTAATCTTTGTAAATAGGTAGATTAATAATCGAAGTAATGTCGATAAGTATTTGTTTTTGTATTTTTATAAATGTGGAAATACATGTTTGGGTAAATGTTTGGATTCATACTGATATGTTATAAAAATGAAATTTAGTTACATGATGTGACTTTTTCTTATTACTCATTCAAGTAAAACAGTAACTTTCTCTCCCTCTCCAAATGCTCTCACACGGCCACGTGCATGCAACCACTGCCAGTGAAGTCCTACTCACTAAATTCTCGTGGTATTACTGTTGTTTACGAAAGTCAGAGGATGAAAAGCGAATGTCCGGCGCTTTAATCGGGTTGGTGGACACGGACAGTCCACCTAAGGGGGTTGGAAAACCCTGATTCCAAACCAATGGTGCATATGGGCTCCAGTATCTTGAAGAAGAAAATAACGTATGAACCAATCGTTGATAGCGGGCTACCATGGGTCTGTATCGCCTGAAGTTGCCCCATTGCCTTGTGGATCGGAGCTTTAGGTCGAAAGGTTCCGAGTGTGACCCCCTAACAAAACCGCGTGGTTTGGTTTGGGCACCTGTGCAGTATCCCAGTCCTCACACAAATCAAATGATTTATGTGGCATATATCTATTTGGTGCCTCTTTGTACCAATGTTTATGTGTTTAGATAAATAAATTTTAATGTCGGTAGAAGCTAATTAACAAAAGCAACAATTATATAGTAACTTTTCTTCTAAAGTATAATTTTTTATTGTACATGAAACTGTAGATAAATTAATCAGACAATAAATCGCATCTTCACTTTATTGTTCAGGGAAATTCATTTCATACAAGCAACCGGTTTTGTTGTGTGTTGTAGTAGCTTAAGAAAATTTAATCATAATTGAAATTGATTTTAGGAGAGTTGTTATGATATGACCATTTACTTAAAAATACTAGCAATTACGTTATCGCACAGGATGTACATATGCCAACACGAGACTGACCAACTGAAGTCCTAAATAACAATACGAAGATACAAGTAAAACAACATCAAATGAATTTAAACTTCACCCCATTGCTTAAACAGGTGGCTATTAGGACTGAGAATCTATGTGGATAACGCAATGACGTTTGAAGCGAACGGTTAATATCAACTCTTAGATGCAGGTTCATCCAGCTGATCAGTCTCAAATAGGACGAGACACGTTTCCTGGATTCCACTGCTACCCACTACTAATCTTTGCTTACGTTTGTGTTTGTATTTGAAGCCTAATAACTAAAATAGACAAAGTTATTAAAACAACTCGAACTCAGACGACATAATCATTAGCTTTAAACGTTAAACTGTCTCACTGGCGTTCATGGAACTTGAGTTTTGTCAAAACAACTGAGTTTAAACAATTGGGTATTACTGTTGTAATTATCTTGATCATTATTATTCAAACATTAAAGTACAAAAAGAGGAGAAGAAAAATAAAAATCGTTACCCTATGATTGTCTTAAACCAGTCACGCGACTTATCATTTAAGTTCACGTTGTTTGATGTTGAATGTTTGGTCAATACATATTTATTGGTCTAACGATGAGTAAATTAATGTTATTATAACAGAGTGATGATGTATCTAACACACACAGAGAGAATCGCAAATCAGAAAACTAGGGATAATTGAGAAAAATCTGAAAAGCCAATTTGAAAAAAAGAATCATTTAAAGTCTGTAAAGCAGGACAACATACTGTCGACAGTTTTCCTACGTAAACTAATTAGCAAATTTTTAATGTAATCTATAGGATTTATTTAATATCTAAACACACACACACTACAGCGGATGATAACTGGTAACGTTTTAATGGAATAAACTGATATAAACAACCCTGAATGCAATAAACTGGAAGAAAACAAAATAGCATAGTGATTATTTTCCGTTATTCGCGCAATTTCAACCAGATAAAACATGTAGAAATTTCCCTCTGAGAAAACTGTTCTATAAAATATCAAATATGCTTATCAATCAAATTATAAGTTATAAATGAAACTAGAGGGATTGCGTTTTAAGCAAAGATGAGTATTTGCTAGCAGGACGCGAATGTCGTCTTACTGGCGGCTCGTCAGCTCGATGTGTCTGCATCAGTTGATGTTCAATCTGGGACTTGAACCTAGTACTGTTCGCTCCGGAGGTCATCTCGTTATTCACTTAGCTGCTGAGAGCAAACAAGTTCAGCTTTCATTTTTCATAATGGTTACTGTACAGTTTATGTTACGATCAATTCCAGTTGTAATCTAACTTGACATAAATTCTTTTCTCATAAATAATTTAAAATGAAATACGGATGTCATTTCATTGATCTAAAAGTAAACCAATCACTGCGAAACCTAAAAGTTATGGGTTCTATGTATGGTGAGGCTACAATAGGTACTGGTCAAGAATACTGTACTACAATTCAACTACATTATAATGATATCCGATTTTTACTGATTCCCTAGTCGATATCGGTTTATGAGATGACATTTTAGTAGGAAATAAAATTTGCTAACGATTGGCTGGTGTTATAGTTCATTACAATGAACTCCAGTATCTAAACATTGATACTTTCTTGTTTAACGAAGTTCCGAGTATATTCATATATAAATCGACAAAATTTAAAATGTTCAGCTTGAAGTAACACAGTTTTTCTGAAGATATATAAGTCACAACTAGATAATACCTCGTGAAGAAAAAGATCAAAAATGAAACCTTAATGTATACACTGTTATTGAGCTGAGACAACAAAACTCCATCAATATCATCCACCTGAATTACAAATTTTCTCCACCAGACACTGTTATCAATTTATTTTTTTGGATGCAATCGGAGAATTATAGTTGAATCAGCATGAATTGATTTTATAGGTTCTAAACAGGTTTCGATTGTATTGAAAATGACAACTTTGATAACAGACAAAATTACCTGAAAAACCAAGCTTTAAACGCGAACAGAAAAGTCAACAGAAGAAATAAATACTGGCTGTTATGTTTCTTACATTCTTTTTGAGATTTATCAGTTGGTTGTACTTGAATCTTAATTTTCCAATTCACACAATAAATAAGAACAGTAAATATATGCAATTTCAGGACATTCTTTTACGAAGTTCATATGTCAACAGAGACTAATACACATTTAAAATCAATGTCTTTAATGTTGTTACTAAAGGTCCTAATTTCGATTTCTGTGGAGACCATGAATGTACACTTGTTTCCAGAACTCTACATACTTCAGTTACTCTCCAACTAAATTAAACAGCTGTTATGAATTATCTCTACAGGGAAGCTTTCTTTATTAACATAAGTGATAACAAAGATGAATAGTAGCTAACAGTGGAATCCAGTTTGACGCGCGTTTCATCCTATTTGGGACTCGCCAGCTAGATGTACCTGCATCCCAGAGTTGACATTTACTCTGAGACTCGAACCCAGTACCGTTCCATCTTTGCTTATAATGCTTGTAGATTAAGACAATATCGAGGCAATACGCAAAGTATTCACATATGCCAATAAGAGATTGATCAATTTAAGTTCTAAATATCAATAGAAAGATTCAAGTAAAACAATACTAAGTAAATTTACTAAATGTTATGCTATTAACTACTGGAATGATATCAGTACTCTGTTTTTCGAGAAAAAAATAATTTACCTTATGCAAGTAATAATAATGATTGACAAGAGATTGAAACTTACCTTTATTCTTGAATCATATATCTTTGTTTTTTCTAATGAAGAACAAACAATACACTTCCAAACTGTTTTATTTAAATGAATGTCATTAAATTTCTTTACACTTCTTATGAAGATGAATGATTGATATATATGCATACAGATTTCTACAGTCTTAAAGCCCTATCTTTATACAAGTTATATTCCACTACTCTATCTTTTTTTAATCAACCAGTCAACATTTGTTTATGAGTGCTTTTTTTCATTTTATTCATTGTATAACTTGAAAATTATTCTTACTTTCAATTTTAATAATTAGCCAATGAAAAATTAGTTTAATTATTTTAACCAATTAGATAATTTAGAAAATTCTCCAATCAGATTATGAGGAGAATGTATAAAGTTAATTTGAGATAAATAATAACCTATTTTAAACATTTTTTGGGTGGATTTAAATTCACTGTTTCCACGTTAATCTAATGTATTACCCAGTGTAATAATGATCATTTATACTTTCTTGTAGTCGCAGAATTTGTTAGATAATGATGTGTTTTTTTATTAAAGAACTAGATTATGCTGTGAATTTTGCTCTGGTTATCATTTTCATTTGCCACGTCTGACTGTGTTATGCCAGACGTGGATTGCATGCTGAAATGATATCCTAAGTCATGATGAGTTTTAAACACATTTTTGATTTTTTTTTTCAAGTAGACCGTCAATGAATAATGTGATTGGAGAAACGTTTGTTGTGCTGTGAATTATGTTTTTGTAAGTGACTGTTGTCTTTAGTCCCAAAACAATAATGTTTGTCTTCTGTTAGGTAAGTTTTACTGGCCTTTAGTTCGTGTTTTGGGTTTATAGGCTTAATTATCTACACTTAACTACTTTGAGTAACATTTCTATGCGAATGGATCAATAATTATGACACCTACTTAGTTTAGTATTCTTAGGCATCGTATAATTAAGTTTAGTCGACTTAAGTATAGTGCTTGAAGCAGGTAATGAGGCAGATCAGTTTAGTAAGTAGAGCACTCATTTCTGTTAGCATGCTTAAGCGTCACAACTAGAAAACGATGAGTGTGAAATAATGCATACATTAGAGTTTATATAGCTCCAGGACGATGAAGTTGTGAGCATGGAATTTGTGTAGAATAGGGGGAATCATGAGGATGTTATATTGATCTATCATATTTATCATATTCCCACTAGCCCTAATTTATCGCCAATTTATTTCTTTAATAAGTTACACGTAACATGGTAGTGATATGAACTCATTGTAATAACTTAGCCTATGATAAAAAACGATAAAGAAACTGCAGTGACTCTTATATCAGTCTGCTTTCAATGAGTATACTGATTCAAATCAGTCTGCTTGCAAATAGGAAAAACATTATCTTGGATGCTGTTGTAGTCATGTGCCATAAGATAGCGTTCACTATAATTGATGGAAGAACTAGTGAAATTAAGAATACATGTCTTGGATTTTGCTACGGACTTCGTTCATCCACATAGTTAAGTAGGATTTTGGCATCATAACTGATGTCTGTTCGTGATGTTTGACTAGTTAACGCAGCCTATACATATATTCCTCTTACTAGCTTAAATGGCATTTGCTTAAATCTTTCAATGACTGATTCGCTTTCCTACAAATATGTAATTTTTAAAATTGATCAACTCGTTCCTTCGTATTTGGTTGCTGGCTTCCACTCGGATTCGCGTTTCTGAGCGTATTCGGCCTTTGTGTTTGTACCTTTGTGATCTGCGCAGTACAATAATAAACTATAGTCAACTCTTCGTATCGTCTTCTAAAATTCATACATTATTAGGTATTAAGTAATCACGGTTATCAGGACGAGTGATGTACGAAGCCTTAGGAATTATCTCGAAGATATTCCACTACAACTTGATTAATGAGTAATTCGAATGATAAGTTAAAGTAATTTCTTTAAGCCAAAATAACCATTTACAATCAATTAACATAAGTCAAACAGAAATCTTATTTCACTTTGATTTCGAAATGATGAGGATTCATGGTTAAAATCTGTATTCTTCAGGGATCTTGCTCTTCCAAACCTGCGTAGTTGAGTTACAAAACCTTTATTTTGAACAATGAGAACTGGAGGGTACATGAAGGTAATCAATCACAAATAAAATCATCGGAATAGGCCTATTTGATCTTTATGTAATAATTGTAAAGATAACTTATACTTCAAGTACACATTGTTGTCCATAAAAACAATCAAAACTTCGTAATCAAATTATTGAATTCATAGAACATAACAACAACCACTAATTTCCTAATGTATTTATGAAGGTACTAAAGTGATCAAACGAAGCTACTTAAAATGTTCAAAGTAACAAGGTTATTGAAGAAGAAATAAATTAATCACAAAACTCCCGATAATAACAAGAATCGATAAAAAAACTATTTTTCAGTACACAAGAGAGTTTTGGGTTGTCACATGACCAAGGATTTCATCAAATTTAAGTATTTACCTTAGACCACCTCTATATAACCCTACAAAGGTAGATTTTATATAAAATTTGTGATCCGTTTAAGGAAATATATATACATTAATGATGAACGTAGATGTATCCTAATCGTCTACTCAAATAGAACGATTGGAGTTTACTTTATTTTGTAGCTAAATAGGTACATCTTCAACCACCCTTGATCGTACACTATGGCTATTCATTCTAATGAGTCACGGCTAGGATAGCTCATTGGTAACGTCTCTGACTGTGAAGCTGGGTGACACGAGATCGAATCCGCCAGGGTGCACCAGTTCCCTCAAGATTACAGGTACACCTTGCTGACGAGTGCCAAATAGCACGAAACCCGGGTTCAGGGTTTCCTGTTGACTACCTCCAACCACCATCTAGATCTCAATACATAGTGCCCGCAGTGTCGAATCACCTAGACTGGTGGCCACATTGCAACATGATCGATAGCATTGGATCTGAACTAATAAGGACTAGACAAGCATGACATTGATCACCACCCAGTGATCAATCAATTGTGACGCTTAGACTCTAGTCCACTGTGCCGACATCTGATGGTGTTAATGTCTAACGTTAATTAATTCACGAAATTGTGCGACCATCTACTGTCTTTGGTGGGTAACTGACTCACACCCTACACGGATTAGCTTCACTAGCCATGGCTCCTTATTAGAACCCCTAGAATTACCTCTCGAGTACATGATCCAGTGCTTCTAGGTTTTCGATGGTGGTCTAACATTGGTCAACTTTTAACTGCTCGTACGGGTTAACTCATTATTGGTTTAGTTTATTGTTAAGGTCATATAAGTCGTGTTTCGATTTGCGATTTCGTCGAATTATGTCAAAGCCTCCTATTATTTCCTTATACTTTTGTATAACAAACAAATAAAAGATGTGATATTAAATTCAAGTTGACTTAAATGAACTAGTCAGACTTGAATTGAATTTACAGAATTTGATTTACCCGCCTATTAAATACAAAAATCATTTTCATATGGAGTTTATTTTGTTGTCTAAATTATTCATTCAGATTTCATACAAGTTAATAAATATTCTTTGTTATAATCTAAATGATGTTTCAACTTATGAAGGACGAAACTGATGGAATGTATTGATAATTCTTGCGGATTAAACGCTATATTCGTCTCCTAAGCTATTCTGTAACTCTCAAGCTAGAACTATACACCCACTTGAACAGGAGAGAGAGAAGACTCAAAGTATGCGAGAAGTAGTTTACTCCATGGTTCATTTTAATACAGAAAATACAGGGTTTTTATAATATTTCAAATGTCTTTGGGTCGCTAGAAGATTCTTGAATGCTACTAAACATAGTAGCAGTGTAGCAGCCAGGCAATCAGAGCCTCTGTATGTGACGTTTCACCTTCTTGATATTTTGGCTAAGACTTCAAGTGAACGCTAATTGGATGAAACGATTCTTAGTGTTTCCTGATGCTTGCTTGTCTTTTTCAAACAATTTTCTGGATCACCTCAACATGTATCTTCGTTAGATATGGGTCAATAAATCAGAATGTTATTTACTTTTTGCTTAGAATTAGGTTGCTTTATGGTTTGAAAATGCTGTTAGGGCAGTCAGTATAAAACATTATATTATTTTTCCAGTGATTTTCCGGTGATTAGAAGTGTCTGTAAAGATATCTCTTCGACGTGGTGGGTAAAATTTTATAGATCTGGTAAGTGCGATCTCTGGACTGGACAGAAATAGACTCACTGGAACAATAATAAAAGCTTTCGTTTTAACTATCTAGTTCTTAGAACATAACAATATGAAGAAACGTCGTCGTGAATGATACTTCTTCGTAATCACACCACATGTGTGATTTTTCGACGTGACTGCGGGCAAAAGAGACATTTGGTACTGGTGAGAAGCGACTGTACTTATTATTTACTTTTGTCATTCGGTTACATCGATTCGTTATTATCATACTGATCCATACGATCATATCACAAAGCAATACAATTTAATAGCTAGTAAACTTATGTAGAATCGGATTATATACAAATTTAATACTAAAGCCGAACGAATGTCACATTACCAAGCAATCATAATTCTTCTGTTTGCCGTACTGTTTGTAGACTTTGTAACTAAAATAATTCAACACTGTTTTAGCAGGAGACTCTTCAAAAAAATATATTCAACACTTTCACAGGATCGGACCCAAGGCCTTCAAGCCCAATAACGAGATCTTTAACATCAAATTACTCATTTGGATTTCAGTGCTTTACATTTCTAGCTTCCATCGGCAAGTAACGTATCCGAACTTTTCAGTAAAGCTTTGCCTTATTGTTGATCTGATGTCAAGGTAATTAAATATGAGGATACAAAAAGAGGGGAACTCATAAAGATCCATGTTGTGTGGTCACAAGCCTCTTTATGAACAGATTTGTATCATTTGATATCGCTTAACTAGCTTGTCTATATGCCCTAATATTACCAATATTAATGATCAGATTTAATTTATCAAAAATTAACAAATCACTTTAGTTTATATTCGATAAATTAGGATCAATTAACTAAATCTACCTGTGTTTACAATATGCTAACGTTCTTTCATGAAACTAAAATTCTTCATGAATCATTTCATATAACCTAAATTATAACAAATATACTATTTAATCACAAATGTCAATTCGGCGAGACTATAATTTATGAACGCACCAATCAGGTATAAGATAACAGGTTTCGGATTTTGGCTCGTAATTCACCCATTCATTTGGCTGAATA